TTACCCTGTAATGATGCAATTGTTGGATTTATTGCTAGTCGTTCATTGTCTGCATGATCTCTCTCCTTTGCTCAAATCTGAAACTTCTCACTCAGATCTTATGCTCACTCTCACCTCCCTCGTTCGCATGACTTCTCCTTCGTCATTGCTCATCCTTTTTTCTTCGCACTAATCGATTTCTCTCCTTTGTTCATAGAGGCCTTGTCACCACAATTGCCACCTCACGTCTATAGCGACACCATCGCCTCAATTGTGCTTTGCTGTCGCAGATTGTCGTGAAGGAGCAGCGACAATCTAGAATTTTTATGTTGTCTTTATTCTTAACATTCACGCTTTGAAACAATTTGATTTTTATTTGATTTGTATTAGACGATTTCTAGTTTATAAAGACCAGGGAGAACTAAAGTTTGTATGATTAAACTATTTGGTTGTACTGTATGTATTCTAAAAGTGTACCAATCGTTAGTTTTAAGTAGTTTCCAACAGATGTGTGTGAAAGTGGGGTCTGTTACGGAATCAAAATTAAAATCAGAAGACGTGGATGGTGGACGGTAAAATTAGGAGTGAGATGGATTTCAAATTGCGGCTTTAAGAAAAAATTGTAGGGGTGGGAATGTGGGGGGAACATTGGATGGCATGGCAGGGGCTACGGTGGGCTTTGTGCTACCCACAGAAGTGATATTGGGGTGGAGTGGGCGTCGTGGCAGCCCAACGCCAGCACGCCCACCATTCAGATTCTGATCCAAATGGACTTCATTCTCGTTTATAACAATAAGAAGAAGAAGAAAGAAAGAATATATGTAGAATTTGGAGTGGAGTGGAGTGGAGTGGGGTCCTTCTCATTTTCTCATGTCATCTCATGTCTAAACAACTAAATACATATTTTTTCTCAGAAAAGGAAAAGGAAAAATGAGAAAGTTAAGAAATAATTATACAAGCAAAGAAAGGCGAAATGAAATGAGGAGCAAAGATAAAAGAAAATTATAGATAAAAATGTAGGTAGAGGTAGAGGTAGAGGTAGAGGTAGAGAGAAGGGTGAAGTGATTGATTGAAGTCAAAAGGATGTAAAGGGCTCGTGCTCCGAAGAATTGGAGTCGTCGCAAGGGGAGTGGTTGTGTCTACCTTCGTACGTGGTTATCACCATCCGGCAATCTTCCGACAGTCGCTCCACCCTCTTCTTCACTCGGCAGTTGCTATGCGTGCAACGGTAGTAGCTTCTGCAACAAAAGTATGAAACAAACAAACCTCACTTTAATCACCCTCTTCTTCAGCCTTCATGCATTTCTCTTCTCTTTTTTTTATCTGCTTCAATGTCACTCACTCTACTTCCCTATCATATCATTTGTCGCCTAGCCTAACCACCCCTATACACATACAATGCAACTTATATCCTAATTAATTCATCTACTTTCATGAAACTAAGTAGTAGGCATGCGGAGGAGCAAGTGAAAATGATTAATCCATCACGGATGTGGTGAGCACACAAGGGTTATTATACCAATGCCATATCCAGATATATATATAAACATTAAAAGAAAGAAAGAAAAGAAGAAGAAGAAGAAGAAGAGTACCTAGGATGAAGGCTGTTCTTGACGACTTTCTGGCCATATTTTCTCCATTTATAGCCATCGTCGAGCACATCTACATCGCTTCTGGTCTGGAAACAGAAACGCGGCTCTCTCAGCTTTCTCCTCACCTTCACTTTACTCTTATCTGCATTTGTGCTTCTCCACCTGCAAATCCCAACATCCATCAGTTTTTCAAAGAAATTACAAAGCAAAAATAATATGAAGAATGTGAAAGGTAGGGAAAGCGGTGTATACCATGAATTGCTGCCGTCGCTAGCGCTACCATTGCAGTTCTCGTCGTTGCCGGGCTTCGGATCCTGTGTTCCCACCTGAATTTTTCCACAAACCCAAACGTCAATTAACACGTACGCTGACAATAAGATCGAACCATGCGCGTACAAAACATAACAAGGACATGGACAATCATTCCACTTTTCTTTTCTTTTCTTTACTTTACAAACATATGATTGAATTTGGTGTAATAGCATTGTTGAATCCTCAATAACACCACCTGCTCGTTGCTCCAAGAAGGTCTACTAATGAGATGGGCGTGAGCAGAAGTTGTAAAGGCAGGTGGCATGGTGGCGGTGGCGGCGCTATTGGGTGACAAGAAGCTCAAAACCTGGGTGTGGTCTTGGAAGTGAACGAATCCCATTTGGTGGATGGGTTGGGGAAGAGGAGGTGCATTTGAGAGGTGGAAGGAGAGTTGAAGTTGATAACTGGGAAGGCCTGATATTTGTGATCCAGTTTCCATTGGTCTTTCAGAATATGATTATAGGAAGGAAAGTGGGAAAGTAAGAAAAAGAAAAAGAAACATATGCTTTCTTCTCCTTGTTGATGGTGACGAATTCAGGTGAGGGTGGCGTTTGGGTCAACCAGTAAATGCGAAAAGGAATGTTTTCAGAAACTGTATATATAAAAATAATTTGTGATATATCTCTGAGTTTGTGCACACTAAAATTATGTACATGTTGAAAACAAACACATCATATGCCAGCTGCTCCATAATGCGGCTCTACGCCACTTCTTTTCTTCCTTCTCCGAAAGCTATTGAAAATATTCGAATCTTCTTTTCTTATTTTACCCTCTTTTAACAATTTCCTCCCCCAACACTCCTCTCATTTCTACACTTTTTTTTTCTTTCCCTTTCCTGCTTTATCTAAATATCCTTCATTAGTATTTAGTTCTTTCATTTTCTTTCATAATTCCAATTTCATGCCTACTCTAAATCATACTTACATTCATCTATGTATGTAAAACAAGATTTCAAAAGGGTTGGGAGGAAACAAAAGTTTGGAGGTAACCAAATGAGGGATGACTCAAAAATGCATCACTTTATCTCTCTTTCAATGACTTTACAACTTTTGGGTTTGTGTAGGGGCTGTAGATTTGTGCAAAGGAAAATGATGAAACCTGTTTCAACTCAAATTCCAATATCAACTCTCCCCTTCTCTTTCCATTTCTTTGTTGATTCGGCCCTTTTTTCCTCTCTTTCACGCCCCAAACAAGCTTAATACGCAAATACTTGAGTCCAACTTATGTGACATTAGTTTTCCTCATTTTTTAATATTACATTCGTGTTGCATATTAAAATTAAACACAACATGAAATTAGAGAAGAAGAGCAACATTTTGATTGGGAAAAAGGAAGGAAAAAGGAGCGGAGAGTTGAAAGTGAAACAATAATTGTACAAGAAAACTTTAGAACTACATTCATGAGTTGATGAATGGAAAAGGGAGGGAGAATGCAATGAGAGAGAAAAAGAGAGGTGCGTAGGCGTAGTAGCCCATACATAAAATATGTTAAAACAAAATTGTTGAACAGCTTTGGAATGGTTGACGTTGGAAGTAAAGGGTGTGTGAGTGAGTGAGTGAGTCAGTATCTTGCTCGCGGCCCACACCGACGTCAAAAGCCATTTCACAGGATCTGAGTTGGATTTTCTCTGATTTTGAGGCTTCAGATTCATGTGCTGCTGGACCGCTTCATTAATCTAACCCACAAACATCTTTAAAAATTATATTTAAATAAAAAAAAAGCTAAATTTCTCTATTTTAGTGTGCAACCACTGACCTTTGATGGATCATAAGAACTAATAATTAACATTTTCCTTTTCTTCAGAAAAAAAAGTAACCAAGATTTTTTTCCACCTTGTCTCATTTATTGACCCCTTTTATTTTTCCTTTTTTCGGTAGTAGATTAAATCATTGTACAATGATTATTCAATCTCTTTTGAATGGAAAATATATATATTCATAGGATTCCGATAGAATATAATATTTAATGGAGACAATATAATATCCATCTCCACATGTGTCATTTCCTTTCCTGCAACATTTTTGTCAACAAGAAGAAAGCTGTTAGTTAGAGGAAATTGAAAAAGTGGAAGTTGTGATTATTAGTGAACCCATGTGAGTAACCTCAAATTTGATTTGTAATTCATGGTTTGTAGGACTTAAAAGAAGTTAAGTTTTGATGTAGGGTAAATGATGAGCATAGATGGGCAATAAACGTGGAAGGTGGAAGATAGAATTGTTAATTCTGAAAGTTTTGCAATGATTAGAAGGATTGATTAAATATTAAACTGTGAAAGGATAAAAAGTAGATTAAAGGCTGGCCTGCCCATTACGGTTACAAGTAACAAGGATCGAGAAGGAAAAGTAGAATAAAGTTGAACGTGATTGGGATGTGTGTTGTTTGTGTGTCCGAAATGAAGGACGAGCTGGTTGCTGGTTGGCAGTGAAGGGAAGATTCGTTGAGAAGGAAGAGAGGTCCCTCAAGCACTACGAAATACAAAAACAAAAACCCTTAATGTGAGTGAAAGGGAAAGGTGGGGGGGAGGAGGGACCTGGTTGTTTGGAATCATGGCTGCCTTTGGGGAGAAACCAAAAAGCACACTGGGGTGTGGGTCACTGGAGTAGTGTGGAAACTGGGAAGGGGAGAAAAAACCGTCTTCATCCATCAACCCTTCTTACTCCCTCAGAAGTCAGCTCTCAACTCGAGACCACGCACATCGAGGAGTGTCTTTGCGTAACGTAACTTTGTCTGTACATAGTAATTTCCAGTCTTCCTTTTTTCTAGTCTTACAATTGCACTCTTTCAAACTTCATAAGGCTCACCCCACTTATTCTCACATTCAAACTTCAAACTCAAGACCTCTCAATTAGCACTATACTAAGTCATTTTATAATTATGTCTCAATAAGCATTATAATGCTCATATAAATCTAAAAATGTTGAAATGTCATGGTAAGCTCAAGTTGAATGTTTAAGGTCATTTTAACCTAATGAAGGGTCCGATCACCGAGTTTAAGGTCATATTGTTAATTAACTAGGGTTGCGGGTGGAAAATTATGAAAGCGACGCTTTGTTGTTCATGGGTTGTGGATAAGAAATTCAAAGTGTAATAAACAAAAACGAAAGGGGGTTTGGAATAGGAATTGGAATTTATTTTTGTTTGGAATTCGATGCAGCAATAATTGCATCTTTCCATCAAATTCTAAGATCCCATAATGATAGAGTGAGGCACCACACCTTTGGTGGGCTCCACCGTGTCTCAAAAAGCTCCTCCCTTTCTTCTCTTTTTCTCAATAAATAGACTAATCAGCCTTTGGTTTACTCCAACCACCCTAATTCAACCCATAAATTTGTCTTTTCCCCCTTTTTATTCATATCATTTAGGGTTCACTGTTTCCTCCACCTGTCTTCACTCCATCTACATTCTGGAAGGGCTTCTTAAAAGGAAACTTCCACATCTCTATTACTTTACTCTGCATAAAACTTTTATAAAAAAAAAAGGTTAATTGTGTAATAAAAACCTACTTAGAGGAGGTTTTGTAAATCTATAGTTACAAAAATGTGGTGTTAGAGCAAAATATTTAACAAGCAAAGAAATAAGATTTGATTTGAAACTTGGCAATGAAGAAGAAATTGAAATTTGGGCCTTATTTGCCCAATCCTGATGACCTTTGACGGTTGGGCCGATCTAATATTTGATGTCCGCAGGTGGGCTTGTAGAAAACAAAACAATGTTTCCCTTCACTGTCATAAGTGGATTCTATACACAAATGCCGGGAATGAACTGCGACGAGTAGTTGGTTTGAAGTTGGTTTAGGAAAAAATAATGAGGGCAGTAGTTTTAGACAAGAGTCTTGTTAGTCCAAGATGTGCAAAAGTTACTCAGAGAGACTGCACAATTGTATCAGTGTATAAAACCAGTTGTCTTGTTTTCTTGGATGGCCTTCTCTTACCCTTTTCACTCTCACAACTTCACCTCACACAAATCTCTCCTACCCCTCTTCACTCTACTCCACACCCTTCCCCCTCATTTAAATCTTAATCTTTAATTGATTCGACCTTAAAACTCTCTTCTTTAATTTCCCAATTCTTAGAAGAAGAAACAAAAGAAAAAGAAAAACAAGCTCATGAAGCAGTATATCAGATCAATCTTGTCTTGTTCATATCATCTTATCTCATTTCTGAGAAATACGGATGAATTGAGCGCCAATCCAACATCATCAGTTATAACCATTTTAGAAAGGGAGTTCTAGTAAGTAAATTTATAACAATTACGTCTTTACAATTAACAAAATGTCACTAGTATAAAAACATACCTCCTTTCAAAGCCACCACATCCACTACCAAAGTTATGGACTCCTTAAAATATCCGATCCAATTCTGAAAATAGTTTTCATCAATCTGGCTGTGCAAGAAACCACAATCCAGATCATCATCTTCTAAACTTAAAGTTGCATAATTAGTTTTGGAATCTAGTCTGACCTCACATAACCCCAAATTCTTGTGCCTGTGTCCATCTTTAAACTTCATTTCTCAAAAAGCTTTGTGGCCAGAAACTTGGCTCCATGAGCACACAAGCAAGTTCCAACGCATCTACTCACAGCTGACTCCGTGATCACTGCTTCACAAAAAAGATTTTAGAAGTGAATTTGGTAAAATTCCTAATCTATACAATAATCATGCAAGACCCCAGAGTCATCAGCTGCGGACAAATTAAGTCTTCCTTGCCTTTAATTGCTATTACATTGGATGATAAAACAAATAAATCTATAATGAAGATCACTGGAGATGGAAATTCCCAGATCTGCAGTAAAACACGATGAATATCAGAAAGATACACGAGTATTCATTCAATGCATTTTAGATAATTAAACAGCAATATCTACAATAAAAAGAAAATAACTAGAACTATCGAAAGTATACCATCATGCAAACAAGAAAGATCTTGAAGTAACTTGAAATAATGATGGCAAAGAAAAAGTGTTTGTACCTGTACCTGCACAAGCAATGAGAAACAAAAAAATTAGAAACAAAATGAGGCGTCCTACGGGCAAATGGACGCATATTCCAATGCTGGTTTCACTGAAGAAAAGCAATTTGGAAGCATCAAAAAAATTAAAGCAACAGTCTTGAAAATGTTTTACAACTTACTTATGGACCCCGGCTGAGCTCCTCAGAAATACTCTTGACAAAATATGAAGCGCACAAATAAACATAATATTTCCGACACAAATATCCATCAAAATCTACAAAGATGTTTGAGACAACTTCGATAAATGCACGTGATCATCGTGAAACACCTAAAGCAACCAAAAAATGGTTACAGGAGGGATTGCAAACCTTTTGACAGATCCCAATTGTTGATGAAAAGGTCATGTATGATTGTTTCTCACTTAGTCTCAGAAGCATGTACCTGTCTAATTGATTGCGGCTAAGGTACACAATGTAGAGAATAAAGAAATAAGACACAATGTAGAGAATAAAGAAATAAGTATGATGTAAATAGTAGAGTACGAGAAGGACAAGACATCCCAGGGGTGGGGACTCCCCAACCGAATTGGATACAAGCATCCAAAAGAAGAAAACTAAGTCCAAACTTCCACGCTAAATCCTACAAAAGAGCCAAGGAAAAAACCGTATTAGGATTATAAACGTTTCACCATTAGGATTATAAACGTTTCACCATTATAATCCTAGTGTACTCTCTTTTCCTTCTTTATCTTCTTGTCCATATGCTTCCAGCACTCTGTAAAAGCTGTTTTCCTGTTGCTGGAGTTTGTTTATTTTGGCTTGTTATCTTGGGCATATTGCATAACACAGAAGACTACCGATTCAGCAGGGAAGAAATATAGCGGAAGGAAGGGAAGAGAAAACATTTTCTACCATAATTAGAAAAAATAATAATCCAACTAAAAGATTTCATCAAGGTTTATATTTTTAAAAAGAAAAAAGAAAAAAAAAAAGTCAATCCAAATTTCAGAGACGCATAGCGAAGATAAAACTGATAACCACTCATGAAATAAAACGAAATGGTGAACAGAGCTACGAGTTATCAGTCATCACATGCCATGTGAAATGAGAAAAACAAAGATCCATTTGATTTTGTTATGTGCGTGTGAAGGAAATGAGGCAATTGGGTGTGTACCTGACGAGACAAGCAATCTGTATCAATTAGGTTGTAGAGCAGATGTGTGTAAGCCTGGCGCTTGAACAGTATTAAATCGATAAGAACAATCTACCACTTGAAAAATCATATACTCCTCAGACAAAGCAATTGCATACACAAATAGAAACAATCGTAGTAAAGGAGTGGACGACTCACCATGATTTCGCACTCAATGTATTCGTCCGCAACGGATTTGCAGTTGTCCTTAAAACATAAAGCAGCATAAGGATTTTGCAAAAATCGCATAAAAGGAGAGGGGGAGGGAGAAATGTTGAGAAGCAAGCAAGAAAGCTTACGCATTTCACAAGATGCATGTTCCCGGGTGAGTACAGAAGGAACAATTGATTGGTTCCAAATCCACACTGCACACAACGATTCCGGTTTATATCCCTTCCCATTGAGGAATTCCAAGAGAAGAGAGTAATCCAGTGACACGGTCGACCAAGTTGACTCAAATCTTAGTTGTAGGATTTCTAGTACATCTATCTTTCCCTTTTATCGACCCCGACCTGGAATTGGATGATGTTAAGACTTTCGGCATCACCGTAGACTTCGGGCCTATAAAAAAGTGGCCCATGCTTTTATTCCTCAACCGGCCCAGACTGCGACGCACTTCTACTCCTCTCCACTCTCCTATTCATAATTTTGGGGTTAAAACAGCAGGAGCGTGGGAGGAAGTCATGTTGAAATATCATCACTAGCCCAATAGAGTCAAGCCCAATAATTGTACTAGCCCAATAGAGTCAAGCCTAATTGTACGAGCCCAGTATATTTATTTTAGTAGAGATTTTAGGAGAAAGAGATGTAGATATTTTAGGAGAAAGATTCAATTTGTTAGGTCTAGATTCAAATCGGTTAGGTCTAGATTTAGATTGGTTAAATATAGATTGTTTACTCTTAGTATAAATATCCCCACCCTACCTAGGTTATTCATCCAAGTAATCTAAAAACAATAAAAAGCAGAAGTATTCTACAGAGTGTCTTGTATTCTCTTCTCGATTGGTCTTAATAAAGAGAGCGAGTGTTTCCCACAGTGAGTTGTGTTCAACATTTGGTATCAGAGCGAGGTTAGTGTAGGTTATCTGATCTCTTGGAATCCTTAGTATGCTCTGTGGTTGCAGCTCTGCCTGATCTTCCACATCAGAAACGATTTCTTGAGATTAGTGGTGAGTGAGTTTCTTTTGTGTCGTGAGAAGTCTGTGACTCTGCAAGTCTTGTGTCAAAAGAACTTGTTTGGTATTACTGAGGTATGGCCAACACGATGAGTGATTTCCAAATCGTTGGAGGAATTAAGAAACTCAACAACAACAACTACAACACGTGGGCAACATGCATGATGTCCTATTTACAAGGACAGGATCTTTGGGAGATCGTTGGCGGGTGTGAAACTACGCCGCCAGAGGAGGATTCTAACGACGCCTTGCGCAAATGGAGAATCAAAGCAGGCAAAGCAATGTTTGCCTTGAAGACCACCATCGGAGAAGAGATGTTAGAACATATTTGGGATGACAAGACACCGAAAGAAGCATGGGACACATTCGTGATGTTGTTCTCAAAGAAGAATGATACGAGACTACAACTTCTGGAGAATGAGTTGTTGTCAATTTCACAACGTGATATGACGATTGCTCAGTACTTCCACAAGGTCAAATCGATCTGTCGGGAGATTACTGAACTAGACCCAAAGTCCGCCATTGTAGAATCTCGAATGAAGAGGATTATAATCCACGGATTGCGACCAGAATATCGAAGCTTCATTGCTGCTGTACAAGGATGGCCCACTCAACCATCACTGGTAGAGTTCGAAAATTTGTTAGCCAGCCAAGAAGCCATGGCTAAACAAATGGGAGGCTTCACGTTGAAGGGTGAAGAAGCACTCTACACGAGTGAAAGTCAGAGCAATAATAGGCCGTCTACCAGACGTGGATACAATGGTGACAAAAGAAGAAGCCACCAAGGGATTGCACAACCTGAGAGAGCTCAGAAGAACGACAACAAGAGTTTTCAAAGAACGAGATTTGGTGGTATTTGCTATAACTGCGGGAAAAAGGGCCATATGTCTAGAGATTGTTGGTCCAGGAAAAAGACCATTGAAAACAATGTGGCAATATCCAAAAAGAAGATAGAAGATGAATGGGATGCAGAGGTACTATGTCCCATAGAAGAAGACGAGCTAGCACTCATGGCGACAATGGAAGACCATATCAACTATGAGAATGACTGGATCGTTGATTCAGGATGTTCAAATCACATGACTGGCGATCAGAGAAAATTGCAAGACAAGAAAGAGTACAAAGGAAGTCGTATGGTACGTACAGCAAATAACACACAGTTATCAATTGCTCAAATCGGCAATACGACAATCATGCCTGGCAATAAGTCTGATACAGTGTCGCTACATAATGTTTATCATGTACCGGGTATAAAGAAGAACTTGTTGTCAGTGTCACAACTAACAACATCAGGAAGCTATGTCTTGTTTGGGCCAGAAGATGTAAAAGTTTATCAAGATGTTAAGATAATAGGAAAGCCGACGATAGAAGGACGAAGAGTGGAGTCTGTCTACGTTCTATCTGCAGAGTCTGCCTATGTTGACAAGACCCGAAAGAATGAGACGACAGATCTATGGCATGCAAGATTGGGACATATTAGCTACCATAAGTTGAAGCTGATTATGGAGAAATCTATGCTCAAAGGTCTACCACAACTGGAAGTCAAAACAGACGTTGTCTGCGCTGGATGTCAGTATGGTAAAGCTCATCAATTACCATACAAAGAGTCAAGTTTCAAAGCAAAGAAACCATTAGAGTTAGTTCACTCTGATTTGTTCGGCCCAGTCAAACAAGCATCGATCAGCGGAATGCGGTATATGGTGACATTTATTGACGACTACTCAAGATATGTGTGGATTTTCTTTATGAAAGAAAAGTCTGACACGTTCTCAAAGTTTCAAGAATTCAAGATGATGGTCGAAGGAGAAGTAGGAGCGAAGATTCGTTGTCTACGTTCAGACAATGGCGGAGAATACACGTCAGATGAGTTCGATCAATATTTACACGAGTGTGGGATACGACGTCAATTTACATGTGCCAACACGCCACAACAAAATGGTGTAGCAGAAAGAAAGAATCGACACCTTGCAGAAACCTGTCGAAGCATGTTACACGCAAAGAACGTTCCAGGAAGATTTTGGGCTGAAGCTATGCGAACTGCTGCCCATGTGATCAACAAGCTTCCTCAACCAAAGCTAGGGTTCGTCTCACCATTTGAGATACTATGGGATATGAAACCTACAATTAGTTACTTCCGAGTATTTGGCTGTGTTTGCTATGTATTTGTGCCTGACCATCTACGTAGCAAGTTTGACAAGAAAGCAGTCAAGTGTGTATTTGTTGGATACGACAATCAAAGAAAAGGATGGAGGTGCTGTGATCCAACAAGTGGAAAATACTATACATCAAGAGATGTAGTTTTTGATGAAGCATCTACATGGTGGTCCTCGGAGAAGAAAGTCTTATCAGATTCAAACATTGAAGAAATTCTACAACAGAAGCTGGGGGAGCAAACTACACAAATTCAATCAAATGTCGATGCATCTGAAAATCCAAGCGACATTGATATTGACAAGCAGGAGGTGACTCAATCAAGCGAATCTGATAAAAATGAAACAACACATCAACAACTTAGGCGATCAAATAGAATCCGAAGGCCAAATCCTAAGTATGCAAATGCAGCTATTGTAGAAGATAGAGTTTACGAACCAGAGACATATGAAGAAGCATCACAAAACTCGGTTTGGCAGAAAGCGATGGAGGAAGAAATTATAGCCTTGGAGCATAATCAAACTTGGGAACTAGTGCCAAGACTAGGAGATATCAAACCCGTCTCTTGCAAGTGGGTCTATAAAATAAAGCGTCGACCGGATGGATCAATCGAGAGATACAAGGCTCGACTCGTGGCTCGAGGATTTTCTCAACAATATGGACTAGATTATGATGAAACATTCAGTCCAGTGGCAAAGATTACTACCGTACGAGTTCTGCTAGCACTCGCAGCAAGTAAAGATTGGAAACTGTGGCAAATGGATGTGAAGAATGCCTTCTTGCACGGAGAGCTAGACAGGGAGATTTATATGAACCAACCAAAGGGATTTGAGAGTGCAGCTAATCCTAATTATGTATGCAAGCTTAGAAAAGCTCTTTATGGACTGAAACAAGCACCGAGAGCTTGGTATGGTAAGATTGCTGAATTTCTTACCCAAAGTGGTTATTCAGTTGCGCATGCAGACTCAAGCCTATTCATCAAAGAAAGAGAAGGAAATTTGACAATTGTGTTGGTCTACGTGGACGATTTGATTATCACCGGGGACGATGAAAGAGAAATTTATCAAACAAGAGAAAATTTATCAATACGCTTTCAGATGAAAGAGCTAGGAGAGCTTAAACACTTCTTAGGCCTAGAAGTTGATCGCACAGATGAAGGACTGTTTCTCTGCCAACAAAAGTATACCAGAGACATGCTTCAGAAGTTCAACATGTTAGAGTGCAAGCAAGTTTCAACACCGATGGAGATAAATGCCAAGATTTGTGCACATGAAGGCAAAGAGTTGAACGATGAAACAACGTACCGACAACTAGTAGGTAGTCTTATCTACCTAACTTTAACTCGACCTGATATCTCGTATGCAGTTGGGGTTATGAGTCGATACATGCAAAGTCCAAAGAAGTCTCATCTGGATGCAGCTCGACGGATCTTGAGATATATCAAAGGTACAATCGACTATGGTCTTTTGTACAAAAGAAGCAAAGACTGCAAGCTAGTTGGATACTGTGATGCTGACTATGCAGGAGACCACGATACTCGGAGGTCAACCACTGGGTATGTGTTCAAGTTTGGTTCGGGAACAATTTCTTGGTGTAGCAAGAGACAACCAACAGTATCATTATCAACTACAGAAGCAGAGTATAGAGCAGCGGCTGGAGCAGCCCAGGAAAGTACATGGCTAAAACTCTTGATGGAAGATTTGCACCAGAAAATTGACTATCCAATATCACTTCTTTGCGACAACCAATCTGCGATTCGCCTTGCAGAAAATCCAGTGTTTCATGCTAGAACAAAGCATGTGGAGGTGCACTACCATTTCATTAGAGAGAAGGTCCTAAAGGAAGAAATTGAGATGCAGCAGATCAAGACAGATGACCAAGTGGCAGACTTGTTTACAAAAGGGTTGAATACTAGCAAACATGAGAGCTTTCGCTGTCAGCTCAACATGATGCAGCGAATGAGGACTAGTGCTGAGGGGGAGTGTTGAAATATCATCACTAGCCCAATAGAGTCAAGCCCAATAATTGTACTAGCCCAATAGAGTCAAGCCTAATTGTACGAGCCCAGTATATTTATTTTAGTAGAGATTTTAGGAGAAAGAGATGTAGATATTTTAGGAGAAAGATTCAATTTGTTAGGTCTAGATTCAAATCGGTTAGGTCT